CTGCAAAATAGACATGTACCATATGTAATTCTGCAAAGCATGCTGCGCAAAGAGGTATCAGCTGTCAAATTTTTGCTTTTGCTCTTTATTGTTTTTGCATATTAAGCTTCCTAATTCACGTGATGTCATCAGTCACATGGGGAACGTTTTCACTGCTCTTTGTCTCAATGAAAAAGGTAATGGCTTCACTGATTTAGGATTTGGTTATCGCCATTGTTACTTTTGATTGTGCAAATTTTTCATTTTTCTCAAATATTTTAATTCAGGGTTGAAACAGTTCAAAGCCTATGCTCCCTTCGATCATGTGTTCAACATCGTTTTGAGCATCAAGTTCATTGTTACCATGAAGAAAAAGCGTAGTGAAATGAGTAAGTTGTTATTTGAATAGAATTAGCTGGATGGAAGCTTGTTTTCTAATTTTTGGCTACATGGCGTTCATTTTCCTATTCTCTCTAGATGATGCTGCCCAAGGAATTGGAAGCTCTTTGGATGATTTATTGCGACATCAACCTACCTTGAAGCCTTTAATGCTTGACTCAGTACTCGGGGTATCCCTTTTCTCATGCATCGTGTTTACCTTTGTAAATGTTTTATTCAGGTGCTTGACCGCCTTGTCGAACTCGGTAATAACCCTCCGCCAAACACAAAGATAGTGATGGCACTATCAAGATCAGCAAGTAAAGCTGCCAGTCAGAGTTTCGGTAGTGGCTCCAACACTCCCAATGTCGAGCAGGTTATCACTATCTGATTTTTCGAGATGATAAAAATGCTCGTCATTACAGCTTCCAATGTCTCCACCCGAAATTGAAGAAATGTCTGATGATGACGAGGAAGCTGAGATGAGTATGGACGAAATTAGTGGAGTGGGGCAATGTGTGGCTGACAAAATGGTAGGAAATCTTATCTACCATTACCAATTGTTATTTACTCATTCGATACCTAGGGACTTGAAATGGATTGTCCTTCTGATGCCAAAGATGGTACGCGATTGCTACCGCTTGGAGACTATCTCCTTATTTTCACAAAGGTTCTTTATTATTTAGACTCATCAGACTTGTTCATTTGGTCAATCTTCTCATGTACATTTTCAGATATTTGAAGCCATTATAACACAAGTTGCCGCCGCTGACCTTGTTGAAGGATTTGTTGAGAAAAATGGTGTTGAAAAGGTGAACATTATAGTATGCATCAGATTCCATCGTTTGCGAATCTTTTCCAGATTTTATCTCTCTGCAATCTGCCTTCACTTGCTGCTGATTTGGCTGCCAGCACATTTTCCGCAAGCGTTGGTACTATTGTAAAATTTGTTCTGGTAATTTCTTATCTTCTTATTCTCTTAACCGTTAACGTTGGTTTTACTGTTTTTCTTATAATAACACGATATCTAGCAACACGTCAAATCTGGAGATAAACTCATGCTTGCTATCATGGAGGTCTTCCTACAATCCATCGGTCCTCTTGCTGCTCGCACATCTCGGGAATTCCCTGATTCAAGCACTGGCGCCTCCATGCTTGTACCATTGGGCGATGAAGGCATCGTGACAGCGATAACTAGCATGAGCAATGCTGTACCAATTCTCAGCATGTTGACGAAGAATACCGCAATTTCGGTGCCACAAACACAGGTATTTCTACTCTTTCTAATTT